CCCGTCCAGCCTCCAGAGGTGGGGACACGTCTGTTCTCTCTGCATCCCAGCACCTCACTCCAGACTGGAACGTGACGGGCGCTCAGGATGCCTGTCCAGTGTGGGGACAAATGAACCCAGAGCACGAGGGGGCAAACGGGCCCCGCTTTACAGGCTCACGGGGACTCAGGAGGATCCAGTAGCTGGGACAGGCCTGGCACAGCAGCTGTTCAGTAAACAGGAGCTGTTATCACTATTTAAATCCCTTTTGCAGTCCCATTCCACACAAAACATATCCCATCCCCACACAAAACACACTCCCAGAAGCCCCTTGCCAGGGCTCAGGGAAACGGTCTGTCCCCAGGGAAACAGTGAAGTCATCTTTCCTTTTATAATCTTAGATCTGGGGTGACCGACCATCCCTTTTCGCCCGGGACTGACGGGTTCCTGAGATGTGGAACTTCCAGTGCTAAAACTGGGAACATCTCAGGCAAACCACACCTAGATCTGATTCCATTATTACAGCCCATACTGGTCCACAAAGAGCAGGGTGAGGGTACGGGGGACATGCTGTCTCCACCCACAGCAAACCCATCCATCCATCCTGTATTAAACATCCATCCATCCATCCATCCATCCATCCATCCATCCATCCACCCAGTGTTACGCGTATCCGTGTCCACCCTGGCCAAGGGCCAGTGTGGTGTCATGGGCACATGGGCTGTCTAAATTGGAAACCCAACCCTGTTGCTCCTCTGTATGAAGTCAGTTCATGGCTCCCACTGTCCTCAAGGTCAAGTCCAGGATCCTTGGGGGGGGGAATCAAGGCTCTGTCTCCACTCCAGCCATACAGAACATGTGTCTCCCCACAGGGGCCATGCTCTTCCAGATCTCAGCTGCTTGCAGGTCACCCCCAGAAACCCTCCATGTTTAGACAAGGAAAATCCAACAGAGCCAGCAGCTTAAAAAGAGAGCTCAGAGTCCTTGTTGCCCAGAGAAGGGAAAAGGGCTCCAGGGTGCCCATGGGTCCACCACGGGCCTGGCGGAGGGAGGTGTGGTGGGTTTCTCCCTTACACTTCTGTACTTCAAGGACACCTGGGCAGGGCACATGCCTGCCCCAACCCCCTGAGCAATTCGGGACTGGTCCTGCTTATGGGCACCCACAGTCAGCTCCGCTCAGCCCTCTCTGGGCACTGTGGGGCTGGCGGGGGGGTGGGGGAGTGTGGTCTGGCAGGGGATCAGGCACCTGGCTTGTCCTGCTGGGCCATGCCCTAAGCTCTGCCCGGCACAGGCCTGTGGGGTCAGGACATGAACCTGCATTGACTGAATGCCTGTGTGCGCTGGGCACTGTACTCATTTTTAGGTTAATCCTTTTTATTTATTTATTTATTTATTTATTTATTTATTTGAGACGGAGTTTCGCTCTTGTTACCCAGGCTGGAGTGCAATGGCGCGATCTCGGCTCACCGCAACCTCTGCCTCCTGGGTTCAGGCAGTTCTCCTGCCTCTGCCTCCTGAGTAGCTGGGATTACAGGCACGCACCACCATGCCCAGCTAATTTTTTGTATTTTTAGTAGAGATGGGGTTTCACCATGTTGACCAGGATGGTCTCGATCTCTTGACCTCGTGATCCACCCACCTCGACCTCCCAAAGTGCTGGGATTACAGGCTTGAGCCACCGTGCCCGGCAATCCTTTTTTTTTTTTAAGACGGAGTTTCACTCCTGTTGCCCAGGCTGGAGTGCAATGGCACGATCTCCGCTCACCACAACCTCTGCCTTCTGGGTTCAAGCGATTCTTGTGCCCCAGCCTCCCGAGTACCTGAGATTACAGCATGCACCACCACGTCTGGCTAATTTTGTATTTTTAGTAGGGATGGAGTTTCTCCATGTTGGTTAGGCTGCTCATGACCTCCCAACCTCGGGTGATCCACCTGCCTCAGCCTCCCCAAGTGCTGGGATTACAGGCGTGAGCAACTGCCAGGTGAATCCGTTTTGAGTTAGCACATTCCCCTTTCAGAAGAACCCCGTGGGGTGTGGGCTCATGATTGCTATGCCAGGGCTGGGCACACTGACAGCTCTACCTGCAGTCACACAGGTGAGAAGCAGCTGAGCTCCATGGGGCCCAAAGGTGACCATCTGGGCCCCAGGGTGTCCTGACACTTGCCATGTCTCCATGCTGACTGGGAACCAGAGAGGCTTCCGCTCCCAGCAGCAGCACAGGCTCCACCTCCCCCGACTCAATCAGCCACTACCCACAACAGGCGTGGGACCCTTGGGCCCAGATCCTGGCCGCCCTCACGTTCAAGATAATCAGAGCCATGATCCCACGTGGGGGGAGGTCTGTGATCACACAGACCTCAGAGGCCTGGGGCCAGCCCCGGGAGCCCTGGGTGTGTGGAAGGTCAGGAACAGCCGCCCTGTTGCCCTGGGCAACTCCTGCTGCCTGTGTGTGGTGTGGTGTGTGTGCACAGTGTATGAATGTGGCATGTGTGTGTGGTGTCGTGTGTGTGTTCGTGTTTTATGTGTGTGGTGTCATGTGTATCTTGTGTGTTTGTGTTGTGTGTGGTGTGTTTATGTGTTATGTGTGGTGTGTGATGTGTTATGTGTATTGCGTGTGAGTTGTGTTTTGTGTGTGTTTGTGGCATGTGTTGTGTGTGCTGTGTGTGGGTAGTATGTGATGTGTATGTCGTGTGTGTGTTTGTACATGGTGGGGGTTTTGTGTACTATGTTGTATGTGCTTTTTGTGTTGTGTGTGTTGTGTGGTGTCTGTGTGCTTTGTGTTTTATGTGTTGTGTGTTGTTTGTGTTGTGTTTGTGTGGGGTGTGTGTTGGTGTGTGGGGTGTGTTGGGCATGTATTGTGTTGTGTGTGTGTGTAGTGTGGTGTGGTGTGTGTGGTGTGTCTGTGCTGTGCACGCGTGGGCCGTGAGCTCCTCCCACCCCACATTTCCCCAACCCTGGAGCCATTCAAGAACCCTCTAAGACAAGGACGGTGAAAGCGACCCCGGGTGGGAGCCCCTCGTGGGTCCCCGGCAGCCCGGACCCGCTCAGCCCCGCCCTTCTCCGCGTGCCGCCTCTCCCCGCGGCCGGCAGGGGGCAGCACCGCGCCGCGATCCCTCTGCGCTCCGAGGCGCGGCCCCGCCTCCCGCTCTCCCGGGGAAACCGAGGCACTAAGATGCAGCCCGGGCGGCAAACGAACCCGGGCGTCCCGCCCGCCGACCGTCACCCCCTCCTCTCCCGGATGAACCCCGCCCGGCCGGCCCCAGAGCTGATCCCACCGCGGGCGGGAAGCAGACAGGGTGAGGGTCGAGCGCCCAGACCCGCGGCGGGGAGGCCTCCGGTGCCATCCTCGGGGTGCCCGCTGCGCCGCAGTCCGACAGCTCCCGGCGGTCCGCCCTAGTAACGGGCGCCGAGACCGAGGCTGGCGGCAGTGGGGACGGGGGTCCCTGCCCGCCGCGCGGCCCCGGGGCCCGGCACGACCCCGCCGCCTGCCACCTCCAGCCCGCGTCCGAGCGCCCTCAGTGCCGCCGCCGGGTGGCAGCATCCGCCCGCGCCCGAGCTGCGCCCGCGCCTGCCACCGGCTGCGAGGACCCGGCCAGACCCTTCTGTTCCCCGCGCCCAGCTTCCAGGCCGTGAAATGGGGCTGGCTGCCCTGGAGCGGGGCTCTGGGGCGCCGGGGCCACCCAGGGGCGGAGTTATTGTTGCCATTTCACTTCTTCCTGTGCCTCGGTTCCCCCGTCTGTGCTGATCTCCAACGTCCCTTTTATCTGGGAACCCTCCCCATCCGGACACAGGGCTCGGCTGCACCGGAGGCCTCAGATCGAGGGGCCCAGGAACGGCCTGCACCGGGGTTGTTGAGAAGGTTCAGGGATTTGGAGGGATTAAGAAGAGATCAGGGGCAAAGGGTCGGGCGGGACTTCGGGTGGAGGGGAGGCAGGCTCTGAACTCGAGGTCTCTCCCCAGGCCTGGACAGGTGGGAGAGGGCGGCCGCATGCAACCCTGACACACACAGTCTGTCGTCCTGATGGCTGCAGTTCCTGCTGCTCCTCGAGGACTGAGATCTTCCCTGCCCCGTTCTCCTGCAGCACCAGAGCCATCCAGGGCTGAGAAAGCACAGAGCAGGTGGGGAGCCTTGCCTGGACAGGGATCTGACCGCTCTGACCGTGGGTACGGGTCCATGCCCCTGGGGACAGGCAAGGCTTGGCGCAGCAGGGTCTGCGGGACCCTGGTGCTCACTCGCCCGGGGCTGAATCAGGCTAGATGTGCTCTGGGCGTGCGAGGCGCCGAGTCAATCTGACTTCAAGCTCTCCTCGGGGAACCTGAACACGGCTGGGCGCTGCAGAGGAGGCCACAAAAACCGGGGTGCGGGGCAGGGAGCCTCCCCCAGTGTCCGGGAAGCCCCTCGATCTCCTTCCACAGGCCTCCATCACGGTGCTTGGCCACTGGGTTCTCCAGGAGGCCACACAAGCCATCTCCCTGCATGTGACTAGGCTAGTCTGTCTGTCATCTTTTAGGTCCCAAAGCTGGGCTAGCGCAGGTGGCAGCAGTGCTGGGATCTGGGGTTGTGGGAATCTCCCATCGAGTTTTACTGGAGTGGCAGCGAAGCCTGGACTAAGAGGATGGCCCCAGAGTACCTCATGCGGATAATTTTTGCGGGGCGGGGAAGTGCACTCGGAGAGGCGATGGCAGTGGGTAGTCTCTCCCTCCCCCAGCAGAAACTAGAAGCCAAGTGGCCACTGCGACGCGTACCGGTCTTTTCCCACCCCGACCTGTACCCCCACCCCTACCCCCGCGTGCGCAGAGGAGCGCAGGTGTCTCTCCTGAGCCGCACCCTCCCCGCACCTCCCCCCCACCGTCACCCAAGCCCTCTCCCCTCCCCCCCAACCAGTCCCCAGAGGGCAATCGGAAGGGAGCTGGCCTCGGGAGGGGGGCCCCCCCAGGGGTAGATTCGTTTGTGTGTCACGGGGGAGGGAGGAGAAAAGGGAGGGGAGAGCCAGGGAGAGAGGGAGAGAGCGCGGGGCGAGCGAGGAGGGCGGGCGGGAGGCGGATCCTCCTACCTGGGGCGCGCTCGCTCGCTCGCGGCTCGCTTGCCGGGGCCGCGAGTCACCTGGGGAGGCCGACAAGTGCGGACACATTGGCCGCCGCGGCGCTCGGCGAGGCGCGCACGGCCTCAGGCGGCTGCGCCCAGTGGAGGCTGCACCCGCCCGCCAGCCGCGCCCCGGCCCCTGGCCCGCGCTTGCAGGGGCCCACGGTCGCTCAACCCGGCTTCGAGGTTGCGGCACCCAGCCTGGGTCACTTCCCCGGGCGCACGCGGCGGCTTCGGCGGCGGCGGCGGCGGCGGCGGCATCCCGGGCTCACCATGGTGGCAGCGCGCGCCGAGTGCCCGCGCGTAGCCGGCCGCCCGAGCCGCAGCGCCGGTTGAGCGCGATCTGCCCGCAGCCCCCTGGCCCCTGCCGGGCCCGCGCGTCCCCTCCGGCCGCCGCTGTCTATGGCGCAGCCCCCCTCCCTGGATCATGCACAGAAACTTTCGCAAGTGGATTTTCTACGTGTTTCTCTGCTTTGGCGTCCTCTACGTGAAGCTCGGGTGAGTATCCCGTGGGCGGGGACGGCAGCCAGGGGCCAAGACCGCACGAAGGAGCTGCCTCCAGGGCGTCCCCGGGGACGCGGGGACCGGAGGGGGCCACGGCAGCTCTCGGGGCTCCGGGGCTGGCCCGTGTGTCAGACCCTCGCCCCAAGCCAGCAGAGACACAGCCGGACCCCCTGAGTTCCCGAGGGGCGCCGAGCCCAGGGTGGGAGGAGAGAGAGCTGGGCGCGCGGGCGGCCCGGCCGGGTTCGGGTAGCGGCGAGCGTGCCCGGCGCGTACTTTCACCTGTTTGGGCTCCAGGCCCCGGGGGTGGGACGCGCCTTCCCTCCCCCGGGCTGCGCTGGGCGCCGAGCCCGGGCCGAGCGCTCGCCGCCTGGAGGGTGCGCCGGGGCGGGGTCGGGGGGCGTCCAGCGCCTGGGGGGGCCGGGGGAGGGCGGGGGAGGCGCACCCGGCCGCGAGCGCGCAGGCCGGGGCACCCGCCGCGGCCCTTCGTCTCTATCCATCACCCAGACGTGTTGAAATTGCCTTGACAACTCGTCCGGCTGGCTCGGGATGGGCCGCGGGGCCGGCCGGGCCGCCTCGGGCTCGGTCCGGGGCCCGCGCCCCGCCCGCCCTGGGCCCTGGGCCCTGGGCCCGGCCCCCTCTCGCCGCGCTCCCCCTGGCGCGGCCCGGCGGGCGGGCGCCCGGCGAGCCTCGCTAGCTGCTCTCTGCGGTAGCTGCTCCGAGTCGTATTTCCACATTCCTGAACCCAGCCGAGTCCTTACCTGTTGAGCCGAGATCTCCTTTAGACAGAATCTGTCTCAGTCTCGCTCGAAGTGGGGGTGGAGAAGCGGCGGGAGGGAGAGGGGGTGCGGTGCACCTCGCCGGGGGCGTCCACGGCCCGGGGCCGGCCCTGCGATCCTCGAACCTGCGGGGGCCCGCGCCTGGCCGTGCCCTGCGCGCCTACTGTGCGCCGCCTGCTGCAGGGGATGGGGAAGGCGGTGAACAGAGCCGTGGGAGGGGCTGGTCCCGGCACCACTGGCGGGAGACGCAGCTTCCCCGGCGGAGAGGTGGAAGCAGGCGCTGGGGATGGTCTCTCCATCACCCTCCATCCCTTCTCTACTCCTCCATTTTACAGATGGAGAAACTGAGGCCCAGGGCCTGCAGAGACTAAAACCGGTGGCTTCAGAGGCAGGACTGGAAGCCCCCATCCTAGCCTCAGCTCTGCAGGTCTGGGCGGGCGTGTCTGCCGGTGTCCCTGTTTATCCTAGGTCTGTGGGTAGGCTGTGTCCCCCGGTGTTTGTTTACGGAGGTGGGGGGTGCGGGACTTGAGACTGCTGGGCTGGGGGTGGAGTGGACAGGCTGCTGTTTTCCTGCCGGTCCAGCAGTCCTGCAGCGACTCCCGCTGGGCCCCCCAATGTGATGGCAACCCTTAATGAGGCTCTGTTCCTGCAGCCTGATTCTCAGAGCTGAGGCCTTCCCCCCACCCCAGCACCTCTAGAGTTAGGAGCTTTTACGCTACCGGTTTCAAGATTCAGTGACAGAGCTGGGCTTCAGTTGGCTGTGGTCCCCCCACCGTGGGCCTCTCTTCCTAGTGTCCATTCTTCTCTAGCAGTCATCAGAAACCAGCGCCGCCGCCTCCTCCTCTTCCAGCGCATGGGTGGGAAGAGCTCTGGGAACCCCGAAGGTAGCAGAGGGAGCTGACTTGTCCAGCCCAGCTCCTGGGGCTGCATGCCCTTCCCAAGTCTCCTGGTCCCTTCTGTAAATGGGATTGCAGCTCTGGCCATCCTGAACAGGATGGTGGACAGTGTCTGAGAGAGGTCTGAGTGAGCGAGACCCCACCGGGTCTCCCTGTGAGCCCAGTCTGAGCCCCGGGCCCCTGTGTCAGCCTTCCGCTGGGAGCGGGTAAGAGCGAGGCAGTGGCTGAGTTTCCTTCTGTGTGGCCCTGGCTCTGCCCTCAGGCTCCATCCAGCACCCCCGGAGGGGAGACTTCTTCCCTGGTGTGCCAATTTAAACACACACACCCCACCTCCTGGATTTCCAAAATTCGGTCTGGCAACAACACCCTGTGGAATGACGACCAGGAAAGCCGAAGATCTCCCCGGGGGTCTGCTGAGGGAAGGAGAGCCAACCCCTCCCTCGAGGTTCACCCGTTTCTGCCAGGACTGGAGAGAAGGGCCCTGCTTTCTTTGAAAACCATGTTGGCTACACACAGTGGTAGAAGGGGAAAGCTGGGCCCAGGTGTGTCTGAAGAGGTTAAGTGACCTGGAAGCCCACTGCGTTAAGCAGGAGGTTTGCGAGTCTGGGATCATGGGCCGTCGGCTCTGTCCTCCTCACGCCTAGCCTGTGGCCTTGAGTGAGATTTTTAACCTCTCAGCCTCCCTTTCTCATCCAAAAAATGGGGTCACAACATCCCCTTCACTGCATGCTGCCCATGTTAGTGCTGGGGCCTTTGCCCTGGGGGCAGTGGAGATGTGTGCCAATGAGCACCTGGAGACACCAGGAGAGGCTTTCTGATTGTTAATGACTATGATGTCACTGACACCCCGTGACTCCTCCAGATAGTGTGTTCTGGGGCCTCTACATCCCAGGATTTGGGATTTTAAGAGTCATAAAGATCCGACCACAGATCAGAGGTTGCATGCATTGGTGGGAGATTCCGTGGTCACTCCCCTTCATGCTGCATGTGTTCAGTGTATGCAGGGGAGCCACCTGGGCACATGTGCCCCTAAACCTGGTGCAACTCACATTTGCAAGCCCTGGACTCCAGCACCATCAGAAATCGGAATGCAGCCTCCACAATCCCCTCGGCGTCAGAGCCCAGGAGCAGATGCGCCTGGGATTTTGAGCAATTTGAAATCCTGATGACTTCAGGAAGTCACAGTTCCTCACCCAGGGCCCTTTCTGGACTGAGCGGTCCTCAGCTCCAACCCTGGAGAAGGCCAAAGCAGAACTCGGAGGAGCCTGTCTGGAGTTTGGACACCCTCTGCTCACTGGAACTGGAGTCACTGAAGCTCCAGGACCTGAAGCTCCAGGACCAGCCCTGTCGAAAGCCTGTCCCTGCCTTTGGGGCCAAAAGCAGAGAGCCCTGGACTGGGAGGGATGGAGATGGGGGGTGGAGGGATGGAGGTGGGGGGTTGGAGGTGGGGGGACGGGGGTGGAGAGATGGAGGTTAAGGGACGGAGGTGAGGGGATGGGGTGGAGGGATGGAGGTGGGGGAATGGGGGTGGGGGATGGGGGTAGAGGGATGGAGGTGGGGGATGGAGGTGGGGGGACAGGGGTGAGGGGACAGAGGTGGGGGGACAGGGGTGGAGGGATGGAGGTGGGAGGACGGGGTAGGGGGACAGGCGTGGAGGGATGGAGGTGGAGGGATGGAGGTGGAGGGATGGAGGTGGGGGGACGGGGGTAGGGGGACGGGGGTAGAGGGCGGTGGAGGGATGGAGGTGGGAGGACGGGGTGGAGGGACAGAAGTGGAGGGATGGACGGGGCTGCTTCCTCCTGGGTGAGGAGCCTCCACACCAGGACTGGAGTTAGAAAAATCCTCTTCCTCAGGGCGACGGGCCAGACGGTCCAGCCCTCCCCTTCCTTGCCATCTTCCTTTGTGCCGTGGCTCAGATGTGGGGGGATGGTCCTGTGGCGCCAGGACTGGCTAACAACAGGAGGTGGGACACTAGACCTATGTTTCTGAGCTAAAAAAATAAAAAATAAAAATAAAACTAACTGGAAGAGGGAGGACGTCCTTGCAGGTCTACTCCTCTCCAAACCCATCTCCACCAAGCCCTCAAAGGAGAGCAGGAGCAGCGGGGTGGGGAAGCCTCTGTGCGAGCGCGGCACCAGCACCTGCCGGCAACGCCTTCCCACTGGCGGCCTCTCCAAAGAGGTGCCCAGGCAGGTCGTACAGGGTCAGCACCAGCGCACAGCTGGGCACAAGTGCGACCCGCAGCCGGCCTCACTAAACCCAGGGCGCACGGGGGCAGAGGCTCAGCACACTCGGTGCGTCTGTGCACACACACCTGCCCTCGCAGGCCTCCCACGATCCCGCAGGCACACACAGGCACGTGCATGCACACACGCGCAAACGTTGCGGAGCACGGCCCCCAAGAGGAGCAGAGCTCCCGCGCAGCTCCCCCGCGGAGCCGTCTCCAGGTGCACCTTCCCGAACGAGGCCAGAGCGGTGGGGCGCCCTAAAGGTGGGGGTGTGCGTGTCCCGGCCAAGGCAACTTGGGCAGGCCCCGGAGGCAGCTCCCACCGCACGCTCTGGTCAGCCTCCCTTTAAAAAAACCCGCCGGGGGGAGGAGGCGGATGTAGGGGCGGCCCATCCAATGGCAGCTGCGCGCCTCGGGAGACTTGGAGACGTGAGCCAGAGCGAGCGACAGAGTCGGTTCGCACCTACAGACGGACGGAGGTCCAGACCACCGCCAAGGCGCGCCCGCTGCCCCCGGCAGGGTCCCCGCCCCGCACTCCAGCCCCAGCTCCCGCCGCTGCCCTAGACCTAGCGCCATGCGCGGCCCTGGCGGCGGGGCGCGGGCGACAACTGCGCCCAGGCCCGCGAGACCCGGCCCCTAGCGCCTAGCGCTGCCGACCTGCATCGGGGAGCTCCGCGGGGGCCCCGGCCTCAGCTGGCCCAGGCGCCCTGCCCGCGGAGCCTGCCTAGCCCCGCCAGCCGCCTCGGCCCACCATGCTCCTACTGTCGCCGAGCAGCGCGCTCGTCTCCGTCTATTGCCCGCAGATCTTTCTCCTCCTGTCCAGCGGCAGCTACCTGTGAGTGCCGCGGGCGACGGGCGGGGTGGCCGGGTGGGCTCCCCCCGGGTCTCCCGCGCTGGAACAGGGCGGGCAGGGAACGGGGCAGCGAGGCCCTTCGGCGGGGCACCGGGTCACCGTCGCGCGCGGAAGCCGGGGGACTTTAGGTCGCCACGCCAGCCTAAGCCGCCGAGGTAGAGCACTTGGCGGGCAGCCACGGCGGTGAGAAGTCCTGGCTTTGGGGTCAGAGAATGGATGGTCCGAGAGCGGCTCGCCTGCTG